TAGAAAATATTACGAAATATGCACTCGCAAACATCAGATACAAATATCAAAGTAACACGCACGCACACACGCACGAAGGTACACAATAACCTGAAAGCCGAACGCAGAGGCTGATGTACGAGTAGTGATCAAACTGTTTCTGCGGTTGACATCATGGGACGTCGCGTTCATGTGGGAGCTGTAAAGGTTAGGTGATCAAAAATGCACAATCATGACAATCAGAGCACATATCTCCAACATTTTTTACCCTCAACAACCTTCTCTCCCCCTCCCCCTTTTTTCTCGCTCAGAAAAAAAGAAAAGAAAAATAAGGGAGATCATTTAATGGTGCGACTTTTGCCGACGGTGCACGCGCGCAAAAGTACTTGTCAATCGCAAAAGTGTTATTTACGAGATAAAGTACACATGAGAGTGATTGTCGCTTTAGATGTCATTATAATTGGTTTTAGTAGTGCACCCATACAGTAGCCTAACCACATAGTTTTAACCCAACTACGTGAAAACGATCAGTTCTTTCGTTGACCCGTTCAAGACTGGCAGTTGTTGAAATATTTTAGCAAAGCGAAAACCGGGTATCGGCGCAAATGATAATCTCTACGCAGACCCGAGCCCCTGAAACTTCAACAGTGCCTCCGGTATATGTGTGCGTGTGTTCACCTTGATTAGAGAAGTCATTCCAAGTATAGTCACGGCAGTCCGGAAAGTCGAAGTGCTACCGTCGCATTCCAATTAATGCTCGGAGCCTTTATTCTTGGCTGTAAGTATGGGTTAGGTTAGCTCGCACCTCACGCGTGATCCTAAAAACAAACGATTCCGTCAAAGCATTTTATGCTGCACAGGTTACGCCACCTCAGCTTATCGGATATCAGTGATACATTACAATAGACTTGAGTAGCTCTTGCTGTGTTGCAACTTACAAGCACAAGTAGAGAATTAAAGAAAAAAATATTATCTTCTTTTTTATTAAAAACGAGCTTGCGAGAGCACGGTTATGGTCTCATCTCATATGTTGCGCTCTAGTACAGCATGGCGACACCACTGATTCAGATACTTTGGAGTTATTTGCTCATCGTAAAACCTCGTTGTCATCGGCGGCTTCCTGAACAAGCTCGCGGCATGACAGTAATATATTATATTGCGCCTACATTGCACTGTTTGCAACAGCAGACTGATATTTCATTATCGACAAGCAAACTCTACCTGCAAAAATTAAATGTAATACGAAGAGAATGCCCATAGTTTTAGTAATCAGTAATTTGTAATGTGATATAATTAAATTTTAGTGATTTTTAAGAAAGGAATCGGTAATGTAAAACAGTTAGTTTTGGAAAGTGCTTTTGCCATCTCTCGCCTAGAAATCTCAAGAGGGCGACTGTACTAAAGTGATTAACCATTTTGAGAAGAGATATTGAGTTGAGAAAAATTAACGCAATATTGTAATTACACTTCCAAAATTTGACGGGTGAACTTGTACTTTAAACTTTTGCTTACGGAAGAGTGAGTTCTAGTCACCGGTGTGTCCACGTGCAATATGACGTCTAAACGCGTCACTGGTCACTAGTAGGATCTCAAAACGCAATATAAAAATGCAAGGAACCGGAAAAAAAAAAAGCTGTTTCGTATTATGGATTTTTGCAGATCTCAATATTTGGAATTTCGGTCAAATTTCAGTACAAAAACAACGGTTTGACAGCCCCCAGCACTGTTTATTTCAACGTGTGTCATATATAGGCAACACCAGGTGGGTTGGGGTAAAAGCACCGGACATGTTACGAGTACGCACGCTGGCATGAGTTCCCGTCCCGTAAACACTTTTTGTAAGGCTCGCCGCTTTCTCTTCAAGTACCCAGGGTCACAATACACTCTGTAGTACCGTATTTTCTGGACTATACAAGTTTAAAAGTTTAAAATTCACCCGATGCAGAATATCTACAGGTGCGGACAATACAATGATTTAATTTTTCTAGATCCTTCACTATGACAATCGTGAAGGATTTTATGAGTAACGGACTATACTAATGTTGATTTACGTACGATAAAGCTTCATCGTGACCTAATACGGTAGGCGTTTGTCAAGTTCTGCTGAGTATGATACTTTTTACGTTCGGACTAGGTGCTAAGTGCGGGCTTTGCACTGGGTGCCGATTGTGTACCGGGTGCGGACTATCTAAGAAAACACTTCTATTTTTGACGCAAAATATTTCCCTGCGGACTATGCACCGGGTGCGGGCTATAGTCCGGAAAATGCGGTAGTTCCTTCGAACTCTAGGGTTTTTGGACGATGGCTCTTGGCCTATGCCCATCCTCACATGGCCCTGGGTCACTTCACATGGACGGCAGAAGCAGTCAAATGCTTGGAGTAGCCAAGCATGCTTATCGCAAAACAAAACAAAAATTCAGAGACAAAACCGAGAGGCTAGGCTTTGAAATGCTGCAGAAAGGAGAGTTCGGTTTCGGGCGCTTCTCTGGTATCGCCGGAGGAAAGGGGTCGCTGTGCCTCCCGCCGCAAATCGCCCATTATGCGCTTAGCTTGGCTTATCTGGCCCCGAGACGCAGCAACAAAAGGAGTCTCCCGCCGTCAAGTCAACTGTGGGAGAGGAGGAAATGGGAAGTGTGGCGAGGGGAACTTTTTTTCTGGTTGAAAAAATATTCTGCAGGTTGGTCTTTGAGCGCCGCGTGGTGGGAAGTTTTGAAACTAGCCCGAATGTCTCGGAATCTTGGCCTTGAGCTCCAAGCGGTCCCTCTCGGGGCTAAAAGTCGGTGACAGGTTCAGAGTAAAGTGGAAGCTCCTTTCCAGGTTTCGCTCTGAGTGGAAAGAAGGCGGAGGAGCTTCCACCTCACTCTTCACTTACCACTATAGCGTTCACATTCTCTCAATTAATACACACCAGGGTGGAGAATAAAAATCAATGACTTAAATCAGGCCAGTGTGGTAAATTAAATCAAAACTTTTCCAAAAAAATAATTCCGAAAATATTTTAAAGCGGTAAGTTTCTAGGCTAAATCACGCTCAAGGTCACGTAATCAAGGTTACGTAACGCCCGTGGTTGAACTGCTAGTGACTGTAACGATGGTGGCTGAAGTGTAAGCACCGGTCGCTTAAGCTCGTAAGCGCCGGTTGCGTAAGCTCCGTTGGCGTAAGCGCCGGTCGCGTAAGCTTGTAAGCGCCGGGGGCTGAAGCTGACATGACCTGACGTCCTTGACGTTAGGTCGTCATAGAAGTCGTCCTAGAAGTCGCCCTAGACGTCGTCCTTGACGTTGCTCTCGATATGTTTACGGTATACTACAACCATTTCATCACCATGCATACCATTCCTGCAAAGCTACCGCATTTCATTGTGTTTCGTCGAATGAACAAAGCTGCATTCTATTTAACGTTTGTCTGCAATCTTCATATGTGCATTCGTTTCGTACTGAAATCAAAGAATCAACGAGCAAGATATATCTATAAAAGGCTGAACACGATAAAAAAGAATTGCGCTTTTTTGAGCAAATCGGAACGTTGAGGTTAAGTTCTAGCTTCCACTTCGTTCGTTAGTTATGCAAAACGTTCAATAGCAGCAAAATCAGAAGGCCAGAGAAAGAAGCAGATACTAGGAAATTAATGTCCCATAGCAATCAAATACTAATTGCAATGGGACATTGAAATCAGCATTTGATTGCGCAGCGAGCTAGTGCGTCGTGTGCTCGCTGTGCCTATCGGGAGATGGCGTCACAACTTAATAGCGTCACTTGAGAGCTTGTAATAGGAAGAGTTTCCAGCTGCTCGGTTGGGGGGTCACGTGGTTTATGGGTGGCATTTGCAATAGTGCCCAAAGCGTTGATCGTCTGCAAACGCGCCTCCGACTTTCCGCCTGCTTTCCTCCTCGTCACGCGAACACGAAGCGCATGCGCATTTGCGGCCAATTGCCGCAGGAGGCATCCGCCATTAAATTTCAGACGTTCCCCATGGTTTCAGATGGACCCTCTCTTGAATCTATATGCTCTCTAGCGTCTCAAATTAGTCGCCTGCGAGCGCGCCTACACTCTAAAAAAAATCCGGTCGTAAACGACCTCTCAGGGGTTCTTTCGGCTTGTCCATACTTTGCACCCTGAAAAAAGTTCTTTTAAACACCCCCTCAAAGAGTCCTTCGTGAAAAACCTATGAGGGGTGCTTTAAAGCACCTTTTTAGGAGCCAAAATATTCTTCACCGTCCAGTTGCCTTTCTAGTGCGCCAGGGGGCGATAGTGTTTGAGGCGAAACCGTTCTTTACAACCTGAAAGAGTTCTTGGGGCGTCGAGGAACCTTTCAAGAACGGATTTGTTTAGAGTGCAACCTTGACTTTGGAAAGTTTTTCCGCTCATATTTTTACAGGAAAAACTATGCCTTAAATTTTCACAGTAAAACTGACCTGCTCAGCGCAGATTCGATGAAATCTTAAGCTTTTTTTTACAGTACCGACCTTAGGAATTGTTGACCTGGGCGCCGCGCCCCCTATTGATTTTGTTTAGCTTTTTTATTTATTTGAACCCAGCGCCCGACACGACGCTATATGCTTGATCGCCGTTCGTTTTTTTGGAAAGCAGTTCTCGGCTGACAAGACGTTCAGGTTGGAACGCTACTGACATGTTTACTAACAACGTGATCATGCCGTCTTAGATATAGGCCTATAAAAAGGAAGGAGGGCGCGTCACGGCCGGAATTTTCCCAGGCGCATGATGGTGTAAGGGCGGCTCTGGCTTTCTATGTATACGTGCAGGCGCTTATTGTTTCTGCTTTTTCTACAGCGGAAGGTCCGTTAATGCAACAAGCGTGAGTAGGTAGCTTTTTCACCTGATGCTCCCGCTGCACGAGAGCTCGTGCAGCCGTGGGGCGATCAAATGCAAGGAACCGCGTGCAAAATCTTTGTGACATATCACTGACCGAACCCACTCAGAAGCGAAAGAGAGCTATGCCGCCAAGGGCGTAAGAGAGAATGACGGCCACCAGAAATAGATTACACGAAGCGAGGTGTGCTCACCACTTCCAGAACGTTCAAGGCGCCGTTCCAGGTAACGACGTAGTCAGCGTTGATGTCGAGCTTGTCCAAGTGCCGCCGAACCTTTTGCAATTCGTCCATAATGGTGTTCGTGGTTGCGTTGGAGGAGGTTCCTGCCATCGGGGACTGCGTTGTTCTTCTTGCCAGAGGCTTCTAAGACTGACTGCGAGCACAAGAGGCAACAGCAGCCCGTGCGCTATGGCCTGTGGAATCGGCATGCACATCTTCTTCTTCCCAACGCAATTAAAATGAAGCAAAATATAATGTTTTCTTTTGGGGAGCTTATGGATGTTCAACTGCATGTTGTTCCAAAACTTCTCTTATAAATAGGGACAAAATAATGCAATAATGTTGCGTATATGTTTATACAGCCTGAAGTTAGTCAGCCTCAATAGGCGTCTGGTGTATCAGCTGTAGTTGAAACATTTCGTCAGTGCCACTGCTATACTCCGTTTCACCTTATGTTGTACCGCAGCGAAGGCTAGAAGCGCGAGCTCATAGCATTTGCAGCTGCCCTTAATGCGCGAGTGCTTGTGCCGACGAGATGTGCCCTGAGCAAGAAGCTCGCGCTTGTAGCCTTTGCTGCGGTACAACATACGGTGAAACAGAGTATAGCCTGGGGTCTTTAACGTGCATAAATGGGGACACATTATTCATGCTGAATTTGCAATGTTTGCCACTTTAGACAAGCAAACTTGGACAAATATGAAGCAAGTCTACTCGCGCACGTGCATGCGACTGACCCAGAAGCTTTTTTGCCGCGATTTAAATTTAATGGTATAAAAGTGGACACAAACATCATGTTAGCACTAGACATGGGCTCCAGATAACAAGTGCGTCGGTAAACAACCCGGTAGTGACTCCTGTCCAATCTCATTAAAAGAATAGCCGAACTCCTTGGCTACGACGGAATGCACTACTCCCAAACTGCGTCCCTAGGATTCGTTTCAAAGAAGGCCAGAGCGAAGATCTGCGCACGTTCCCTCTGTCGATGGTCATCGAATGTCTTTTCGGACGGTATCGCAAAGCCCCTAAATGTTATCTTACACTTTCCTAACGATCATTTTAATGAAAGACGAGCCCACCTTGAACCGCCCCATATCCCACCGCCAAAGATGAGCATCAAAACATGAACAGATTGAGAGTCTCCAAGAACTCCTGGACCCTGCAGTTGGTTTTCTGTCACATTTGAAGACGGGCCTCATCTTTTCTACGTCGTGATTTGGGAATAAACTGCTGATAATTTCTAAGTTTGTGCTTGTGTTGTCGTCGTTCACAACATCATTGTTTCTGCAAGTACAGACGAGGGTATACGGTTTTTATAGCTAAAAATTTCCTTTGGAAATGAAGTTGGTCAGCACCCTCTAGCAGAAGCGACGCCGCTTACAAAGGTATAATTTTCAAAATGCAGTCCTCGCTAGTGTCCTCGCACTAATTAACGCCACCGTAAACCGGCACTCAATTAAACACGTTGTGGATGTTTTTGGGACATTTGAATACCTTCATTGCATTTTTTTTATTGAACCTGAACTCCCCAAAAGCTAATCAAATTAACGTTCGTGTTAAGACAGCGAAAAATCGGTCTGCTTGGGAGGTATGATGGCACAGGTTTGCGCTGTATATTAAAAAATTACACCATCTTCCCGAAGGGAACATGGGCTGATGCGGAGCATCGCGGATCGTTATTAACGCTGTTATTAACGGTGTTAGTAACGTTGTTGAACTTCACGGTCCCGAACCTCAGGTTCTGCTGCTCGACGTTCTCGAACCGCCGCTGCTTCACGTTGTCGTATAGTTCAGCATCCGCCGCTTCTCGTTGCCGTAGTTCAGGGTCTGCCGCTCGCTTCAAGCGTTTGCGCTCAGCGTCGCGTACCCTTCGCTGCGCAGCTTTGTCTTCAGTGGGCGTAGCGTTGCTGTTAGTTTGTGGGGTGGTGCTGACGCTTGCTTGCGCCAACCCACTAACTGACGGGACTGTTGCTTCCATCACACTTCATCGGAAGAACGGAGTGAAGTGGAGTCAACAGCGGGTGAACTGAACGCGCGCGCTACCGCTGCTTATATTCACACTTGAAGGAGAGGAGACTAGAGGAGGAGAGTTGCGCATGCGCGCGCGGTGTGATTAGAAGCGAACGCACGCGAAGTGCACGCAGCTGGTAGAGAGAGAGAGCGGAGAGAGTAACGCGCAGCTGTTGGAGAGAGGGAAGGAGGAGAGTTGCGCATGCGTAGTGTGAGTGCGGACTACGACGCCGCGGGACATAGACCCGAGCAAGAGATGCTCCGCATCTAAAAAAATTATCCAGTGCAGTGCCTCTGCTAGCCTTGTGCATTTAAATAACTTGTTAGTGATATACTACCGCACTCCGTTCCGATCCTCATACAGATCGAAATTAGCGGGAAGTCCAGAATCTATATAGGTTCTGCGGCGTGAGCTATTCACCTGCGTCAAGTTGCGGTGCGCTAATACTGTAAACCCCTTTATTTTCGCGGCCCCTATTTTTTGCGAATCGGTCACAGATGACATAATCGCGACCACTAAATTTCGCGAATTCCAGACGCCTGCATTGAAAATCTCAAGAACCGAAATGTTCGCGCGCCCTTAAATTTCCCGAATTCTTCAATTCGTGAAATTCGCGAAAATTGAGGGCTCGCAAACATTAAGGGTTTTACAGTACACTATAACAATTTGCCCGCCACGCGTCATTGCAGTTTTTGTTTTTCTATGTGATGCTTGTGGTACGGTTGAGTTTTCACTATAAAGATCCACTCTCAAGATCTACTCAGAGTTTCCCTTTATTAGACCTTGAAACGATGCTTGGCTCGAACCTTACAAAACTATACCTACCGCGTAGTGGGGCACGAGATAACTAGCTATCACTGCAGGAAAGCGGTTTTTCCTTGAAATCTCGAGAATAAAAACACCATTTCATGTTTCTTAATATTATTATTATTATTATTGATGCATGATGAGCGTGCGCAAATACGCATGCGGTTTCACGTTCGTGGTACACGTCCGTCGTCTCATTATGGTTTGACGACGGACGCAGAAAACCGAAGGTTAGCCTTTTTTTTGTTAACTTTTTACGATTTGGTCGCTGCGCGAGCACAGCTATACGCAGTCTCTCTCTCTCTCTCTCTCTCCCGAAAGCGTCTTTAGGTTGTCAGAGATCTCCTTTTGCGCGAAAGACGCGTTGGCACAATAGCCCCTAACTACCCTTCGCGCATGACCGCCCTATAAGATGCTCCTTATTCAGAACATCGGGCTGTCCCTTACACATCTTCGTCGCTTCACCAGGCACACTTCCAAAGGAAGCGCGTCGTCAAAGAGCCGTAAATAACGGAGAACGTTCGTCGCAGAATTCCGAGAACCCGGTAAATCATCCAACACGAGTGAAATGCGCAAGTCTGAGACATAAGGTTGTCACGCATATATGGGCCAGAGCGTAATTCCTCCGCGACATGGAGTGTTCGCTTTGGAAGACGTGGCTAATGCCGGTGGCCTTGCTTCTTTGTCTGCAACCCCGCCTTGCTTTCCAGGACCGCGTCCAAAGGACAAAGGAGGCGAAACTATGTCAAGGTATATAGTACTTGCGCTCTTCACTTCATTGTCCGCTTTTTGAGACAGTCGCCTCGATGACTCCGAGACCAACCGCCGGGCTACGTATCCCCAGGTGGCCGGTTCGAGATTCGAACCCAGCCCTGGCCGAGGTGCTTGCAAATTGAGTTAGGCTTATTGCGGAGAAGGCGCCGCGCAACCGTGTTTTTGGTTGCACGTCGAAAGATCCTCAAGTGGTCGAAATTATTCCTCAATCCTCCGCCGCGGCGTGCCTGACGCCCTTCCTTGGTTTGGCACGTAAGACCCCTCCCCCTCATATTTGTTGCTATTCGTGCTTTTCGAGACACAAGTTGGGAATTTGACGGTATATGGAGCCTTGTCAGTCAAGAACCGATTGATTTCCGGTGTTGTAAGCACTTGGTCAGGGCGTATATTGATGCACCGGCCTTATCCACCTCCAGATCTCAAATGACGTCAGCGGAATTGAAGTACATATCAAAAGAAACTGTAGTATTACGTAACGCTTGTACCAATTGCACAATGCGTGAAGCGTTAAGCAGGGGTGACACTGCTTATACACCATACAAAAGACAGTCTGCAAACAGATTCGAATGCAAGTCGCCACGAAATCCGTGCTTCAAATGCCATGGCAACAAGCTCAAGGAAAAACTTGAAACGCGGAATTCTAACCACGGATATCGCAGTGACTGATGTTTAGAGACCGTCTTTTGTATGATGTATAAGCAGTCTGACCCCGGCTTTAGGCATCACAGTGTCTTGATAGTCACCCAGTGACTACTATATATATCCAATTGTGTTGCGGAGTTCACAATTTTTCGTTGTTGCCTGTCGATGTATAGCTACAGGTAAACATTTATGGCTTCAGCCGGTTGGTTCGCACTGGAAAACTGAAGAAACTAAATGTGAGGCAGATTGCTCAGCACCATAAGGACAGGGACACCGAATCATTGCTAGAGCGTTCAGCCAACAGCAGTTCGCGTTCGCGTTACCACAGGACATCACAGGAGTCAGCACTGAGAGCTTGTGGTCTGGAAGCCTTTTACCTGCATTCACTCGCTTATGGTGATTTCACGCATGACGTTCGTGATTGGCCCCAGCCATCCCGGTGAGGCAGTGGTCTCATTGGCTACCCGGTGATGATCGCGTGATATATGCTGATCGCTTTCTGGCGGCCTGGGGCTTGTAGGTTGTAGTGACAATCTTGTTCACTTTATGTCTATACTGCGCGCAGTGGGGGCAACCTTGGCCGAATGCGACAACAAATTTCTGTGGCCAAAGGTGAGTACCCTCCTCGCAATCAAAAGTAGAACCTCCGTTTTTGGACATGCTGTAGTCCACACTTTTTGTCCACAGAAACTATCAAATTCATGTGTCATAAGCGAAAGTCTGATGCATCTTGCTCCAAAAAGCAATTTTCGCTAAGAAGTGCGCCGCACCCGCGCCTAGTGGGCTTACAAAAAACATAATAATAATTACAGGGTGAGTCTAATATTTAGAGAGGTAGAAGGAAAGGGAAAGGAAACTGATGCAAATATGTATTTCATAG